AGAGAGAGAGAGAGAGAGAGAGGAAAAAAAAAAAAAGAAGCTGAGAAGAATGGTTTAACTTTATTTTTTATTTTTATTTTTTTAGATGGCATCTCTGTCACACAGGCTGGAGTGCAGTGGTGCAATCTCGGCTCACTGTAACCTCCACCTCCTGGGTTCAAGTGATTCTCCTGCCTCAGCCTCCCAAGTAGATGGGATTACAGGCGCTTGCTAGCATGCTCAGCTAATTTTTTATAGTTTTAGTAAAGGTGGGGTTTCACCATGTTGGCCAGGCTGGTCTTGAACTCCTGACCTCAGGTGATCCACCTGCCTCGGCCTACCAAAGTGCTGGGATTACAGGGATGAGCCACCATACCTGGCCCTTCAGTGCCACCACTTCTTTAATTGAATGACCTTGGGAAGATCACTTAGCCTTTTAAATCCTCATTCTTTTTATTCCTGATTGGGCGTAATGGTCATTGCACACCTACCTTCACAGCTAACAGCTGAGACACAGGTAGTTTTGTATTTGTGCTGTGTGAACTCTTGATGCCATACATGTATAGGTCATTCTCGTAGTACCAGAACTGATGTTTTTCATCTTGATGTGTGATATCTCCTAAGTTTGAATATTAAATTTAGTGAAAAGAGATGAACTTTGGAATCACAATACCTGTGTTTCATCTCTGCCACTGAGCCAAGTGACCTTCGGAGACAGGTGATTAGCAAATGAGGAAACACATCTGTTAATTTCTTAATTTCTGTGACATTTCTTCATTTGTAAAGAAGAGGTAATAATAATGGCTAATTCATCGTATTATAATGCTCAAATGGGATAGTAATTCAGATAAAAATTATTTCTGAGTTATAATGTTCTATATGTTATGGTCCTTACATGTTGGGAGGGTGGGAGAGAAGGGTAGTTCATCTTATTTTAGGTCCAGATCTCCTGATTCGTTGAGCACAGGTGTCAAAAATTCAAATATGTCCGGCTTATCAGTGAGGCAAGGATGTCTCTTTTTTTTGCTTGTTGTTTGGAATTGATTAGTTTCTTTTTTTTTTTTTTTTTTTTTAAGTAAGACAGGGTTTCATCTCGTTGGCCAGGCTGGTCTTGAACTCCTGACCTCAGGTGATCTGCCCACCTCGGCCTCCCAAAGTGCTGAGATTACAGGCTTGAGCCACCATGCCCGGCCAAGGAATTAATCAGTTTCAATGTGACATTCACTGACCTTGAAACATTATACAGGGATATTGCTTCTTGGTCATTACATGTTGTGGGCACCATAACAAAGACTTTGATCTTTTGTTTTTCATTGAATTGATTTTTTGAAGCAAACCTGACATGCCAGTCATTAATAATGCATGAAAAAGAAACTATAAATTGGAAGATTAAAAAAACCAACATTGGTGGTATTGCTGCTGATTCTTTTGTTGATACAGACTAGATTTTTCTCCTTCTTTAAATCTTTTTTTTTTTTTTTTTTTTTTTTAAAGATGGGGTTTCACCATGTTGGTGAGGCTGGTCTTGAACTCCTGACCTGATCTGCCCGCCTTGGCCTCCAAAGTGTTTGGATTACAGGCGTGAGCCACCACGCCCGGCCCCTTCTTTAAATATTGATCATAGTTCTCTACATTAGATTCAAGGAACACAGATGGACCGACAACCAGAGGCATGAGGACTGGTGGATAGCAGAGTCCTAGACAGAGTTTAGGATTAGGCTTTGGTTTGCAATAACCACATGCTTCTGTGTTTTAGGCTGAGGCTTGCAGATGGTCAGATTTTTGTGAGTTTATGATCCTGAGCTGCAAGATTTGAAAGCTCCCTAGTTACGTATTGTGGTTATTTTCAAAATTTCTCTTTAGGGAGTGCTTGACCTGAGCCCAACAGTTCCCTGTTTTGCCCGAGTGAAATAGTTTAAGGAGCATTTTGTTTTTTCATTTTGTCACCATAAAAGGTTTTCCAGGACACTGTGCCTGCTCCATCTGTTCTCTGTCAGTTCTACCTGGCCCTTGTCACTCTATGATGTTGGCCCAGGGTGAAGAGTTGGGAAGGCCCCAGGAGTTTCTACACTTAAGACTGTCCCCATCCTCAAATGTTATGGGCATAGGCATGGCCTTTCTTGGTCAAGTCCAAAGGAGACTTGGCCAATCCCTTCTGTCTCTTTAAGGCAGCAGCAGGAACAAATAACTCTGCTTGAAATTTGCAGGCTGTGGGATGAGAGTGACAGCAAAGCAGATAGATTGAAACCTGACTCTGAATCAGAATGACTACTGCCTTAGCAGGGACTCCTACCCGGACCCGTCTTTCCCTCATCACTGATGGCAGTGGTGATAGCAGTGAGGAACATGGGAGTTTTATATTCATAATCAGGATAGTGACTTCTGTCTTCAGGTAAATGCCAGTTCTTTGTCTGTCAGAATCTTTATTTATTTTTTGAGACATAGTCATGCTCTGTCTGCCAGGCAGGGGTGCAGTACGTGATCTTGACTTACTGCAGCCTTTGCCTCCTGGGTTCAACCAATTCTGCCTCAGCCACCCGAGTAGCTGGGATTACAGGTGCATGCCACCATGCCCAATCTTAACCTCTGTTTTCACATGGCCTTCTCTTCTATGTGTTCTCGTCTTCTCTTTTTTCTTTTTTGAGACAGTGTCTCGCTCAGTTGCCCAGGCTGGAGTATAGTGGTGGGATCTTGGCTTGCTACAACCTTCACCTTCTGGGATCAAGAGATTCTTGTGCCTTAGCCTCCTGAATAGCTGGGACTACAGAAGGCACATTCCACCACGCCTGGCTAATTTTTTTATTTTTAGTAGAGATGAGGTTTTGCCACGTTTGCCAGGCTGTTCTTGAACTCCTAACCTCAAGTGATCTGCCCACCTCGCCTTCCAAAGTACTGGGATTATAGGTGAGAGCCACCACACCTGGGTCTGTTTTCTTCTTATAGGGATACTTTTTTTTTTTTTTGAGATGGAGTTTCGCTGTTGTTATCCAGACTGGAGTGCAATGGCGCGATCTCAGCTCACCGCAACCTCTGCCTTCTGAGTTCAAGCAATTCTCCTGCCTCAGCCTCCCGAGTAGCTGGAACTACAGGCGCACACCACCATGCCCAGCTAATTTTTGTATTTATAGTAGAGAAGGGGTTTCACCTGGTTGACCAGGATGGTCTCGATCTCTTGATCTCGTGATCCACCCTCCTCAGCCTCCCAAAGTGCTGGGATTATAGGTGTGAGCTACTGCACCCAGCCATAGGGACACTTTTCATTGGGTTTTGGGCCTACCAAGGTAATGGTAGGCCTTATCTCAAGATTCTTAATTAAATCTGCAAAGATGCTTTTTCCAAATAAGGTCACATTCACAAGTGCTAGGTGGCCATGTCTTTGGGGGAGGGCACTGTTCCATATGTTGCAGCGGCCTTCAGGTACCTTTGTCATCCTTAGCCAGATTCTTTGCCAGTGCCTGGTGTTGGCTGTGAGGGACACAGGGTGAGAATGTGAGGTTTGTGTTTCATCATCCAAGCTCTGCTTGTAGAGAAAAATGCAGAACAGCCATTTGACAGAGAGTCATTAAATGGTAGCATTTTTCTCTTTGAATTGTTCTGTTTTTAGATATTATATCTGAAAATATTTTTCTATATTCTGAAACCCAAAGATTTTCTTCAACACACTTTATTTTTTTATTTTTTTAAAGATGAGGGTTCACCATGATGGCCAGGCTAGTCTTAAACTCCTGACCTCAGGTGATCCACCCACCTCAGCCTCCCAAAGTGCTAGGATACAGGTGTGAGCCACCGCACCCAGCTCTCAACTCACTTTATATGGAGGTGAAGGGAATATGACAGGATACTATTTTAACCTTAGTCCAAAAGTCATAGATTCATATCTGCTCTTGAGTAAACCAGCAATATATTGTGTTTTTCTAGATAGAACTTCCCTCATCACTTCCCAGATAGGGCTTTTTCTTACCAGGTTTTAATCTTCCTGTAGTTTAACATATATATAGTTTTATACTGTAAATTGAATAATTCTGTAGATTTAAAAATATAACTAATACAACCTTGTTATAGTAAAACTTCAGCAATATAGAAATGAAAGTAAAAACTAAAAGCTTCCGTTTCCCCCCACATTGTTTGGTGCAGATTTTTCTGAACCCTCTTTTATGGATTGTGTGGGTTTTTGTACTGAGCTAAGAATATTACATTTATAAAACAAAGCAAATATTTTGTGTGTCTTTTTTTTTTTTTGAGATGGAGTTTCGCTCTTGTTACCCAGGCTGGAGTGCAATGGCGCGATCTCGGCTCACCGCAACCTCCGCCTCCTGGGTTCAGGCAATTCTCCTGCCTCAGCCTCCTGAATAGCTGGGATTACAGGCACACGCCACCATGCCCAGCTAATTTTTTGTATTTTTAGTAGAGACGGGGTTTCACCATGTTGACCAGGATGGTCTCGATCTGTTGACCTCGTGATCCACCCGCCTCGGCCTCCCAAAGTGCTGGGATTACAGGCGTGAGCCACCACGCCCGACCATATTTTATGTGTCTTAACTGCTTGTTTTTGTGTTTTTTGTTTGTTTCTTTTGAGTCAGGGTCTTGCTCTGTTGCCCAGGCTGGAGTATAGTGGTGTGATCATGGCTCACTGCAGCCTCAAACTCCTGGGCTCATGAAATCCTTCTGTCTCAGCCTCCTGGCTAATTAAAAAAATTTTTTTTGTAGAGGCAGGGTCTTGCTATGTTGATCAGGCTGGTCTCCAACTCCTGGCCTCAAGCCTTAGCCTCTCAAGGGCTGAGATTACAGGTGTGAGGAGTGGGTCATGGCACCCAGCTAACTGCTTCTCTTGAGAATAGTATATTGTCTTTAAAACCATTTCAGCAGCATTTTCATGTTTGTAATAACCAGAGTCTTCTAGGTTCCTAGGTTTAGTGTGGAGATGGATATTGTCAAATAAAAGGAAAGCTTTAATCCGTGAAAGTTACCTGTTGTTCCTGCTTTCTCCTATAGATTATAAAATCTTTTTTTTCTCTTTGCAGATTTAATCCAGAGACTGACTACTATAGCACCTACAGTTGTATCAATGACTGGTGAAAGATAGTGGCAACAGGTAAAGGAGAAGCAGCTCTGACATTGAAAGAAAATGAGTATGCTGAAGCCAAGTGGGCTTAAGGCCCCCACCAAGATCCTGAAGCCTGGAAGCACAGCTCTGAAGACACCTACGGCTGGTAATACTTTATGCATTTCCTTTATGGAAAATAAATTATCCTATATGGATACTTCAATTTGATTTTTAATTTTAAAACATTACTTTAGATGCATTCATAGTCTTGAAAATATTTGAAAGAATTTTTTTTTTTTTTTTTGAAATGGAGTCTCGCTCTGTCACCCAGGCTGGAATACAATTATGAATATAGGCCTGGAAAAATGACTGATTTTATTTTATTTTTTTTGTTTTAACTTTTTCTAATCTTAATTGCAAGTAAAGGAATAAACCTCCACCACCAGCTCACTGAGTTTAGCAGCATTGAAAATGGTGGTGAAGGATCAAGTATTCTTGGCCTCCTAGTTTAAAACAAAACAACACAAAACAAACAAAAACACTTGGGTTAGGCACGGTGGTTCACAACTGTAATCCCAGCACTTTGGGAGGCCAAGGCAGGCGGATCACCTGAGGTCAGGAGTTCGAGAACAGCCTGGCCAACGTGGTGAGACTCCCGTCTCTACTAAAAATACAAAAACTAGCCAGGTATGGTGGTGCACATCTGTAATCCCACCTCTTTGGGAGGCTGAGACATTAGAATCACTTGTACCTGGGAGGTGGAGGTTACGGTGAGCCGAGCTCATACCACTGCACTCCAGCCTGGGTGACAGAGCGAGACTCTGTCTCAAGAAACAAAAAACAACACTTAAGACTAGAACACCTCTCTAAGAGTTGTAGGCTACTCCTGTGGGCTGTTGGCTTTCTCTAGTTTTTCTTTAAGTTAGAGGTTGTCTGTTTGAATATTAAATCGAATCTCTTCTTATCTTTCTTCTGTTTTTAGTCGTAGTTCCAGTAGAAAAAACAATATCCAGTGAAAAAGCATCAAGCACACCATCATCTGAGACTCAAGAGGAGTTTGTGGATGACTTTCGAGTTGGGGAGCGAGTTTGGGTGAATGGAAATAAGCCTGGATTTATCCAGTTTCTTGGAGAAACCCAGTTTGCACCAGGCCAGTGGGCTGGAATTGTTTTAGATGAACCCATAGGCAAGAATGATGGTTCAGTGGCCGGAGTTCGGTATTTTCAGTGTGAACCTTTAAAGGGCATATTTACCCGACCTTCAAAGTTAACAAGGAAGGTGCAAGCAGAAGATGAATCTAATGGCTTGCAGACAACTTCCGCTTCCCGAGCTACTTCACCTCTGTCCACTTCTGCAGCCAGCATGGTGTCTTCCTTCCCGGCCACCCCATCAAACATCCCTCAAAAACCATCACAGCCAGCAGCAAAGGAACCTTCAGCTACGCCTCCAATTAGCAACCTTACAAAAACTGCCAGCGAATCTATCTCCAACCTTTCAGAGGCTGGCTCAATTAAGAAAGGAGAAAGAGAGCTCAAAATTGGAGACAGAGTATTGGTGAGTAGAGAAATGTTCTTGCTGGGCACCGTGGCTCATGCCTGTAATCCCAACACTCTGGGAGGCTAAGGTGGGTGGATCACGAGGTCAGGAGTTCAAGACCAGCCTGGCCAACATGGTGAAACCCTGTCTCTACTAAAAATACAAAAATTATCTGGGCATGGTGGCGTATGCCTGTAATCTCAGTAACTTGGGAGGCTGAGGCAGGAGGATTGCTTGAACTGGGACCCAGGAGGCAGAGGTTGCAGTGGGCTAAGATTGTGCCACTGCACTCCAACCTGGGTTACAGAGCAAGACTCCGTCTCAAAAAAAAAAAAAAAAAAAAAAAAAGAGAGAGAAACATTCTGAGGTCATTTTGTTGAATTGAGATATAATTACCAGTGAGTGGTTGAAATATACACATGGGGCCGAACGCAGTGGCTCACACCTGTAATCCCAGTACTTTGGGGGGCTAGCCGGGTGGATCACAAGGTCAAGAGTTCAAGACCAGCCTGGCCAAAATGGCGAAACTCTGTCTCTACTAAAAATACAAAAAAATTAGCCCGATGTAGTGGCGGGTGCCTGTAATCCCAGCTACTCAGGAGCCCGAGGCAGAGAATTACTTGAACCTGGAAGGTGGAGGTTGCAGTGAGCTGAGATCATGCCACCACATACCAGCCTGGGAGACAGAGCAAGACTATATCTCAAAAAAAAAAAAAAAAAATAGTCTGGGCAAAGTAGCTCACGCCTGTAATTCCAGCACTTTGGAAGGCTGAGGTGAGCAGATCACCTGAGATTGAGAGTTGAAGACCAACCTGACCAACATAGTGAAACCCCATCTCTACTAAAAATACAAAATTGCCAGGTGTGGTGGCACATGCCTGTAATCCCAGCTACTCAGGAGGCTGAGACAGGAATCACTTGAACCCGGGAGGCAGAGAGATTGCTGTAAGCCAAGATCATGCCATTGCACTCCAGCCTGGGGAACAAGAGCAAGACTCTGTCCAAAAAAATAAAATAAAATGAAATAAAATAATTAGATGGATATGGTGTCACATGCCTATGCCTATAGTCCCAGCTACTCAAGAGGTTGAGCCTGAGAGATGGAAGCTGCAGGGAACTATGATTATGCCACAGCTCTCCAGCAAGATCCTGTCTCAAAAAAAAAAAAAAAAAAGGACTTTTATTGATAAAATAAGCTCAGAAGTGAACTTAGATGTGTTTATAAAAATTTGACTTTTTTTTTCCCTTCTGGTTTTTAATTTTTGGCTTAATGAAATTATGTGGGTGTGTATAAGAGCCTACTACTTTAAATGTCTTGGAAAACTCAAGGTGTCAGAGGATGTTACTTAAGAATTTCCCGACCAAGGCCAGGCACAGTGGCTCATGCCTGTAATCCTAGCAGTTTGGGAAGCTGAGGCAGGCAGATTACCTAAGGTCAGGAGTTCAAGACCAGCCTGGCCAACATGATGAAACCCTGTCTCTACTAAAAATGCAAAAATTAGCTGGGCGTGGTGGTACACACCTATAATCTTACCTACTTGTGAGGCTGAGGCAGGAGAATTGCTTGAACTTGGGAGGCAGAAGTTGCAGTAAGCCGAGATCTCGCCACTGCACTCTATCCACTTTGAGAGCGAGACACTGTCTCAAAAAAAAAAAAAAGTTTCTGGGCCTTTCAGATGGTCAGGTTTAATTTCGGAAGAGGAAGGAAATGTACAGTAGGTTTGACTAATAAGTGGAAATGCAAGGTGTAAGGTCTACGTGCTCAACATTCTAGAACCTCTGAATTTAGTGATTTTTTTTTTAAAGGGAGCCATGTAGCATAGTGCTAAGAACACAAGCTGAGTCTATTTTTGTGAGATTTGTCTATAACATGTAGATTTGAAACAAACACATAGTGGGTTCTTATTGTATATGGGCCATTTTTCTAATACACTTTTGTAGATTGTAGTTGTAGATTTGGGGCATTTGTATGGAAGGAAATACAGGTCTTAATTTCAAACACTAAATTAAGACCTATTTTGGCTTTGTGAACACAGTAAGATGTTTAACAACTTAGTTTCCTAACCTCTATAAGTGAGGCTAAAATTCTGCATTTTGACTATATTTGATATTTCCAGGATGTGATGTCACGTTCTTGAACAAAATGACTGACACTCAGCTGTTCTGTTTCAACATGGTTGTTTCCATGCCTTGGACCGCATGTTCTGTGCTGAATTTTTAGCTCATGACCATGTATGAGGAAGTGACTGTCAGCTTTTTATATTTGAACTGACAAGCTTCATCTTTCTGTGAGCTACTCCCAGGGCCCTTATACTAAGAATCTTACAGCAGATTTTTCTTGTTCTCAACACTTTTCTACAGGTCATTTTGATGCTATGAAAGGGGAAAAATATCTTCCTGAGAATTAAAAAATATATATTCATTTACAAGGTTTATTTTGCTTGTGTTTGAACCTTAAATAACTGTAATTTATCCGCGATGTGCTTTTTTTTTATGTCTGTCTGCATTTGTTGAACACTACTTTTGTGAGATTCGTCTATAACATGTAGATTTGAAACAAACACATAGTGGGTCCTTATTGTATATGGGCCATTTTTCTAATACACTTTTGTAGATTGTAGTTGTAGATTTGGGGCATTTGTATGGAAGGAAATACAGGTGTTAATTTAAAACACTAAGCTGCTGTTGGTGTTACACTGTTTGGATGTACTGTACCTAATTTAATCATATGCATGTAGCTTGTACCCATTTTTTTCCTAGAAATTTGAGTCAAGGGATATAAATAATTTAAAATCATTAGTAGGTATTGCCAAATTGCAATCTGAAAAGCCTTTATTTTTGTTTCTACAAACAGTATACAAGTATGTCCTTCCTGATGATTTTTTTTTTTGAGATGGAGTCTCTCTCTGTCACCAGGCTGGAGTACAGTGGCGAGATCTTGGCTCACTGCAACCTCTGCCTCCCAGGTTCAAGCAATTGGCCTGCCTCAGCCTCCCAAGTAGCTGGGACTACAGCTGCATGCCACCATGCCCAGCTAATTTTTGTATTTTTAGTAGAAATGGGGTTTTACATGTTGGCCAGGATGGTCTTAATCTCTTGACCTTGTGATCCGCCTGCCTCGGCCTCCCAAAGTGCTGGGATTACAGGACAGGCATGAGCCACCGAGCCCAGCCTTTTTTTTTTTCTTTTTCCAGTTTTACTGGTGCTTTTTTTCCACCTTGTTAAGTTAGTTAAAACTCTTTTTTTTAGATTCATTTACCATATTAACTTTTTTTTTTGAGATGGAGTCTGCTCTGTCCCCCAGGCTGGAGTATGGTGGCACAATCTTGGCTCACTGCAACATCTGCCTCCCTGCAACCCCTGCCTCCCAGGTTCAAGTGATTCTCGTGCCTCAACCTCTGGAGTGGCTGGGACTACAGGCACATGCCATCGCACCCAGTTAATTCTTTGTATTTTTAGCAGAGATGGAATTTCGAAATGTTGCCAAGGCTGATCTTGAACTCCTGAGCTCAGGCAGTCCACCCACCTCTGCCTCCCAAAGTGCTAGGATTACAGGCGTGAGCCACCCTGCCTGGCCCATATTAGCTTTTTTAATTAAAATTTTTTTATTGCCATAGGTGTTATTGGGAACAGGTGGTATTTGCTTAATCTCTTGAAATCCCTTTGCCTTGATTGATGATGGAGTAGTTAGTGGCATGATTTGCTCTTTTGTACGGTCCACAATTGTGAAGACTCTAGATAGTCACATTATGTTAAAAGCCCCTTTTGCCTGAATCTTGAGATCTTTTCTAGTGCAATGGATTTTACTTAGTTTAATTCCTTTGTAATGAGGTTTGCTGCAGATTTGAATAATTTTTTTTCTGATTTTAGTTTTAGGTTTTTTTAAAATCAAGATGGAGTCTTGCTCTGTCACCCAGGCTGGAGTACAGGGGCATGATCTCAGCTCACTGCAGCCTCTGCCCTGTGAGTTCAAGTGATTCTCCTGCCTCAGTCTCCCAAGTAGCGTAGCTGGTGCCCACCACCACACTTGGCTAATTTTTGTGGGGTTTTTTTTTTTTTTTTTTTTGATACAGAGTTTTGCTCTTATTGCCTAGGCTGGAGTGCAATGGCACAATCTTGGCTCATGGCAATTTCCAATTCCCAGGTTCAAGCAATTCTCCTGCCTCGGCCTCCCCAGTATCTGGGATTAGAGGTGCAGGCTACCATGCCTGTCTAATTTTTTCATTTTTTTAGTAGAGATGGGGTTTCACCATATTGGCCAGGCTGGTTTTGAACTCCTGACTTCATGATCTGCCCGCCTCGGCCTCCTAAAGGGCTGGGATTACAGGCAGGAGCCAACTCGCCTGGCTTGTATTATTGTTATTCTTTTTAGTAGAGACGGGTTTTCACCATGTTGGCCAGTCTGTTCTTGAACTTCTGACCTCAAGTGATCCACCCACTTCGACCTCCCAAAGTACTGGGATTACAGGTGTGAGCCACCGTGCCTGGCCAAGTTTATTTTTTAATTTTCAATTTCCTGAAGTTCTAACCTTCACCCAGTATAACCTTTCAGGATTGTCCATGAGGGAAATACTGGGCACCTCATGCTGCTGCAGAGAAACTGTGTTTGGCAGCTTTATCCTGTTTGTGCACAGCAGGCTCAGTGGGGTCACATTTTAGCAGATCATTGTTGGCAGTGCTCTTTCTGCTCCTCGTTTTCAGTTGTGAGAGGGTTCCCGGATTTCCTTTTGAGGTTTAGAAACACAGGAAACCATCCATCTGCCTGTCAGATCCCATGCCTCTGGTCTTGCTGTCCGTCCTCCTCGCCCCCATCCTGTAGCCCTGACTGCTTCGGGTCAGGCCATCATCATCTTTACCTGAATTTTCGGGATGCTAACTGTGCCTCTTGTCTTGTCTCTCCTCACTTCTATTCTTTGCCCAATTCAGAGAGACTCAATTAAAATGCCAATTTGGTGATACTATTCCTTTGCCTAAAATCCTTTTAGTAGTGGCCAGTCTGCCTACAATGTTGGCTTTGA